TGCCTCTGCCCCGGCACGCCGACGGGAGCGGTGGCACAGCATGGCCGAGGGCACCTGGACGTGCCCAGGGCGGCCGCTCCCAAGCTCCCTGCCCTGCGCAGCACCTCGGCGTCCCGCCACGTGCTGCTCCCCGCACACCCCGCTGCACGCAGAAACCAAGGTCAGCCCTCAGCGTTAGCGCACCAGAGAGCTGCTAAGGAGCCGTCCCAGAGGCGGGAGGTGACAGGAGCAACGCCGGGAGCGTTAGAAGAGCTGGGGTTTGTGCCCATTGCAGCAAACACCAGCCAAGGGTGGTGGAGCCCAGGCTTTCCTACCCACACCTCGCACGGCTCGCATCTGCCTCTGCCCTCCCCGCAGCTTCCCGCAGCCCAAGCTGCAGAATCAGGTCCAGGAGCGGGTCCTGCCAGCTCCCAGAGACACCATCCGCACTGGACCGGTGCCTGTTGTGCCAGGGAGTCGGGAAGAGAAACATCTGGCCCTGCTGGATGCTTTCCAGGGCACGCAGCCAAGGCTCCCTTCGCAGTGGCATCAGCCTTGGGCCGTGCCGCGCAGTCAGCCGGCGGCTGTTCCTCCTTCCTCATCCCCGCCCTGGAAATTATTTATTTGCTGAAGAATAGCTTTCCCTGGGAAGCCTGCTCGAACGCTGAGGGAAATCTTCAGTTACAAGGGAAAAATAAACAGTTTGAGCCTTGGAGGCTCTGACGCTCTGCAGACACCGGTGCTAAACCCAGGGCCAGCACCAGCAGCTGCGCAGGGTCAGCGCAGGAGAGCGGTGGGGTCCCCCCAGAGAGGGGCTCTGAGCACCCCACCCATTGTGTCCCGGCAGCGCCATGCCGGAGGGGGACAGAGCCCACGCTGCCAGGTCCCCACGAAGGCAGCGCAGCCCTGGGGTGCCCAGGGGGTGCCCTTTGCTGGGGTTCTCCCTCCCCCCCCCCGCTCAGGCCAGGGGAGCCCCACAAGTTCCCCTCTGCGTGCCCCCCGAGCACAGCCGGCACGGGCAGGGGCGCAGGCTCCGTGCCAGCACATTTACCTTCGTTCTCTGCTCTTCGTTGTTTTTGCTCCCCCCCTCAACACACTTGCAGACAGTTTGCAGCCGGCTGTTTTGCAGCAGCAGCTCCTGCCAGGGAGCTGGGAGGGCGCGGCCGTCCTCTGGGGCTGGCAGGGACAGCAGGGAAAGCGGGAACCGGCGCAGATGGCTGACTGCCCTGCGGAGCTGGCGGCACAGCCCAGGACAGGCACCCGCCTTGGTCCCAGAGCAGGAGCAAGTATCTTCTCCTCCTGCGCCCTGGAGAAAGCTCGCGCTAGAGCCCATCACCTCACCTCTGCATCCATTCGGACAATCAGCATGTCATTCCCGATAATTCAAAGGGCTGCTTGTCTGTGGGATGTCTTCTGGAACAGCACAGGCTAATTCTGATGAAAGGGCTGGACTGGTTGGTTTTGCCACCCTGCTACGGGCGGATGGAGTAATTCAGCCCCAGGATTTAGTGCCATGCCAGAAACCCATTTACCTCCCGAAATACCTGGCGTGGACTGCGCACAAAGCGAAGCTTGAGCTGTTCTCCCGCATCAGCTCCCGCTTCAGCGTGGGGATGGCTTCTAGGCACAGTCCCGGATTCCCAGCCGAGTATCCGGCAGGTCACCGACTCCCCCTCCCGACAGCAGAGCGCTGGGCCAGAGCCCCTCTCCCAAGGGAGCAGTTCCACGCTTTGCACAACCGCCCTCTGTGCAGGAGGCAGAAGCAAAGCGTGCCCTCGGCAGCAAACGCTGCGCCCCGGCCCCGCGCCGCAGGACAGCCCGAGGTGGCACCGAGCTGAGCACCCTCGGTTTTGTTCTCCATTCACAGCGGCGTATTGGAAAGCTTTGAAAACACAGCAGACTGTAACGGAAACCCCATCGGATACTTGAGGAGCTGTACAAAGTGATTTACCTTCCAAGGCAGCCTTGCTCCGAGCTGGCCGTTGCACTGGAGACCTCCAGAGGAGCCTTCTGCCCTGAACGGTTCCATCTGCGTAACCGCCCCTTGCAGAACTGTAGGCACACAAATACCAGCAAAACCCCCCCGGCTGTGACTGGAGCACGTTCGGAGGCATCAGCTTCAAGCTGCCATTCGTTTTGTCTCCGCGGTTGGGGCACACGCTTAGAGCCCTCTCTGGGCACGATGCTGCTACCCAAACCCGGGACTTCTCCCTCCTTGGATATTCAGTGCCTGCTAATTATTTTTTGGGTTTTTTTTTTTTTTTCTTTTTCCCCTCTTGTTACTGACTGGTAAATGGCACGTTAGCCGGATCTTTCAGAGAGAAGATCTTCAGTGCTGCTGCTCTCATGGCTGGGGGGGGAAGGTGACAGCCATTTCACCCAAAGCACACTCTGGTGTTGTCACCAGAGGCTCTGCACCGCATCCACCTGCAACCTGTTCTCTGTTTTCCAGCCAAGACACAGCTCACGCCATCCAGGGGCAGACTCGGGGAGGCCATCAGGGCCTTTGCTTTTCCATGTCAGATGCCGGGTCAGAGACACCAGGCTCCCCTCGGACGCGCTGCTGGAGGCGCGCGGGGGTACACACTGCCTCTCCCAAAGAGAAGCCCAAATGCAGCCGGGCATGATGTGACAGAAGCAGCCTGCCCGATTCCCAGCCCAGGGGACCAGCCTCCCCCTCGCCTCTTACAGGCACCAGGCTCCTGGGAAAGGAGCGTGCGGATCTGGGATCCTCGTAACGGTGTGCTCCTTCTCCCGGAGGGCCACGTGTGCTGGGTGAGAGGCACGTGCTTCTCCGGGAGCAGCGTGTTCGGAAACGGTAACGCGTTCTGTAGCCCTGCCCGCCTTTCTGTAGTACGAACGCGAGCCGAAGGAGCCAGTTCCCACGTGCAACACTCCATCTTAGGGCACGCTTCAGCAGCCCGGACCCACGCCGAGCCGGGCCCGGAGCTGTGCCAGGCTGGGTCTCCTTCGCTGCCAAACGGCTCGTGTTCAGGTCCGCGCTAAGCTCCTAACAAAGCTATCGCACAGCCAGCATTCGCATCGTTGTAAAGCTATCCCTCGTCATAGCTCAGTGCATGGGGAATTCACTTCACCACACATAATTAGACCTCTCTCTGGTTAAAGCTTGTTTGAGGCTTAAAAATCCTTCAGATGAATCCTAAATTCAGCGAGCAGAATTAAGATCTTCGTGAACAGAATCTGGATCCAATCTAGGGACTCCCTAATGGGTAAAGAATTTTTCATCTTCGAATGTATTAGCTACACTAACACAAACCATGACTGCTGCATCACTAATGCTCGAGCAGCACTGCCTAACTCTGCCTTACATCAGAACCAAAAAAGGCCTTTGGAATCACAATCCCAGCAACTCCATCTCCCAGTTCCAACAAACTCCGTGGGGGGGAGGCAGGCAAACCGTTTAACTAGCTCAGCGCTTCACAGGGGAAAGCGTGGAGCTGTGAGACCAGGGAGTGCCTTGAAACCTTAGAGGTAACAATCTTCCAGCTCAGCTTTCCTCAAGTCTGGTTTCCTGATTTCATTTGACCTCCACCAGCCTTCACATCCACACAAAGGACGCATGGTCTGAAGCTATCATATCCTCTACGTTTTCCCGACACCTGAATGGAACGGAGCTTCCTCTCGTCCCACCCTGCAGCGGGTAACGCTAACACCAGCCTGGTCCGACTGTTCTCATCCAAGAGAAATACCGGTGTGCCCCTACAAGGCCAGGTTGGACCGGGCTCTGAGCAGCCTGATCTAGTTAGCGGTGTCCCTGCTCCTGCGGGGGGGTTGGACTAGATGACCTCTGGGGGTCCCTTCCAACCCAAAACATTCTATGATTCTATGATACAAACACGTCCTCCTCACGCCCCTAAATCCCAGGGTGAGCGCAGCAGGTTACTGCCTGCAGGCACCTCTGCAGCCCTGCCACAGGCTGCCTGTGCAGCCGGGCACCCACAGACCCAACGCCCTGCATCTGAAACGCCCCTCGGTGACAGGCGGCGTCGGACGGTGCCTTCACCTTCACCCCGAGAGCAACCCTTGGGCCGTTCGCCAAGATTAAATCAGCTGCAAGCAGGAACAAATCTGGGGGATGATGCTGGAACCCAGCTTCCGGAGCGACGCCAAGGAAGTTTCCTGGGAAGGAGGCCGCGGCAAACAGCCACCTTCTGTCCACCCCTCACCGCAGCCCCCGGCAGCACTGGTCAGACCGGTGGCCGCTGGCGAGGCGCCTGCCTGACGCGCTCTGCTGGCAGGGCCAGGCAGCTCCGGCGGGCAAACCACCACCTACAGCATCCACCCGAACCGGGGACGGACGGGGATTCCTTGGCGCTCCAAGTAGCTGTGCAGAGATCCAAGCCAAGCGCTGGCAGAGTTCTTCAGTCTCAGTGAAGTTTGCTCGAACACCTCAGCACACTAGTTCACCTCTGCAACGCTTAAACACGGGCACGAGACAGAAACTGTAAACATTTACTCTGCGGCTACTGAAGCGATGCAGACCAACTCACTGTAAACATCTTTAAGTTTCCATTTTAAGTCAGTCTCAAGTTAAATACTTTTCACATGCTAAGTTAAACCAGCTTGCCAGATCTGCACTCATCTGCCCGTTCTTCAACGACAAGAATACTAAACTGTGTTATGTTAGCATTTTTGTTAGCAACAGAAGTTCAAATAAACTTTCTGTGAACCCTCAGATTTCTCTTCATACAGTGGACAGCTCCTTTATCCCACCACTACTAAAAAAAACCACCAGTAACAGCTTCCAAACAAAATTCTATTTAATGAGACGTACTCAGCCAATGTAATTAAGAACGTTCGGCCTGCTGCAGTTTTATGCCTTGATGGCGTATTTCCGGACAGGGTACAAACGTTCTTTCCGCTGCTGTTTTTTGGTCTTCAGGTTTTCTTCGTGCTTATTTAATCTACGTCGCATGGCACGGGTCTTCTTCGGCCGCAGATCAAGAGGCTTATACTTTTTGCCCTGTTTGCAAACATACACAACAAGTTGAGTTTGAGAGGCTGCAAGGTGCAAGCGGGTGCACGAGCTCAGAGAGCGGAGTTGCCTCTAAGAACAACATCAGGAGCGGTGCCTTTTACTGGGACTGTCACTACAGTCTAAAATCTGAAGAGAACTTCTCTCCACTGGGAAACACAAGTTGATTCCAACTTTTGTACCAGTTGTACCAGCTTAGACTCAGGTCTGAGTAATGCTTAATCTTACAAGTCCCAGTTATCCAACACCTCTTGAAAAGCTACCTATTGAGGTACAGAATTCCTTGGTCACCTGCAACAGGATTAAAATTTAGGAGAGCAGCTGCATTTCTGGAAGCCATATCTTCTTAGAAAATGCACTACGCCCAGAGAAGCGATGCTGCCCAGAAGACTCCCCTGGCAAAAGCAGATTCACACTGAGCTTACAGAATTCAGGGCACTCTTGCAACGGTATTTAAGAAGGAACCATGACTTTTAAGCTTTTAAGTAACAGTCTACAAAATTAGCTCCTTCCTACAAACTATGCATTTGAAAAAAGAAAGAGAAAAAAGACCCCCAGGCAAGAGCTTTGGACTTACCTTGTAAAACTTCCTCAAGTTCTCCTTCTGCGTCTGATTGATAACAGTCAGGACTCTGGCAATGGATTTGCGCACCACACGTCTGCTCGTGGAAAAAAAAAAGTGTGCCTCAGAACACACGGAAAAGGCAAGTACTGTGGGTTTGATACCCAGTATACAGAAAACACGTACGTGCTACAACCGAGTAACTTACATTGCACCGGGCTGTACCAAAACACTCAACAACTTCCGGCACATCTCAGCGTAACGCCTCCGACCAGACAGACACACAAACCGGTTTCCAAGCCTACAATACCTGCGCCCCTCTCGTACCTCTTCTTCTCTCGTTTGCAGCGCGGGG